GGACAGTGGGGGGACAGGGAAGGCGGGGCTGAGGGGACAATGGCGGCGGGGACGGTGCGGGGACGGCGGGACTGACCGGCTGCGTTGCTGATGTCCAGGTGGACGACGTCCTTCTGCTCCAGGAACAACATGCGGAAGTATTGGCTGCACGCCGCCAGCACCGCCTTGTGCGCCTTGAAGTCGATGCCGTCCACCACGAAGGTGCAGTCACACAGGAGGCCGAGCTGACGCTGCTGGTTGAGCTGCTCCAGGACCAGCTGGCTGTGCTGCGGGAAATCCATGGCTGCAAAGAGACCGAGCGTCAGCTCATGGGACCGGGGCTGGTGGAGAGGAATGGTGCTATACAGAGGTATGAGGGGTAATATAGAGAAAGGGGGTGTTATATGGAGGTTGCACAGTATACACAGTAGACAGGCAATCGTGAGGTCACCGTGCTCCCCCTCCCGGAAGCAGCGGCCCCGGTACCTGCCATCCCGGAGCGGCGGAGGCTCCTCATTCAGCTACAACCGGACAAAGGGCGCCGCCATCTTGGAAGAGGGCGGAAGTCGGACACGCTGATGACGGTGCGCTTCCTGGTGCGTCACTGGCTGCGCGATGACGTCACGGGCGCGATGTTCCCGGCTCCGCCATGTTCCTCAGTGGTGTCTGCCCATAAAGGTCTGTGTGGGGCTGGGCCCAGGAGCTAATTCTCAGCCGCCATTACTGTGCAGTATATGGGGGAGGGGGGTAGATACATTAGGGTGTATATGGACCCCGAATTGGAGCTATGTGGCCTCTCACATGAGGAGGGAAGTCACACCTCATCAGGCCCCGCCCCCCTCCTGAACCTCTGAGGCAGTTCCTGTGCAGTGATTATATTCAGGTATCTGAACTCTATATATTATATTCCACTTTATTATATATAATGTTATTACTACATAATACATCACCGTGCAGCCAGACCGTGCCGGGCCCCTGTGTCTCCGGGGCCCCATGGCAGCTGCATGGTGTGCTATGGGTATACTCCTGGTGAATAATAATATGCGGGAACGTGTCAGCTCTCTGGTCTGAAGATAAAGTGTTGGGGGCCCGGTGTTGCTTCGCAGCACTTTGTCTATGTGTACCCCTCCCCCGTCCCTGCATGACATATATTGGAAGAGACTCCCACGTTCTGAGTCCGCAGGATGTTGTATGTGATTCCTCCGTATTCGGGGAGATCCTTTTGTTTTATATATTGTTAACAATCCCCCAAATTGTGATTTACAATGAGAAATAGAGAATGGTGGATTCCGATCATCACCCTATTACAGTACACTGACCTCTCCGGGGGTCATCCCCATCCTCGGGCTTCATTATATTGTAGAGCTCAGGCAGTGATTGGACCAGGTGGGAAGATGTGTCCTGAGATCGCCGGAGCCGTGCCGGCAAGACGTGACGCCGATGTACAATGTCCCCTCCGTGTCTGTGAGGCCGGGACACGCTCTGTACATTCCTCCATATGTGTGAGGGGGAGGGGGGGGTCTGTAGTGCGGCACCCACAA